GCAGCCCGAATTCCCATAATGTAAACTACATTACTATAGCTCCACAATATACTTTTTCTGCTTGATATTAATGTTGAGTTATAAGTGTCTGAGTGTTTAAGAGTTTTGTAGACTAGAACCCAAGTGTCATCACCAGTCCTTTATCCAGACAACATTTGCCACTTCCAAATCCCAAACACGAGAGCATGTCCTGCTTCACCAAGGAAACCGGCTAACACAACTCATGACAACATTACCTCTGCAATCAGCAGCAATCCAAGAATAAAACAAGAAGACCTACTTTCCAAGAGCTGACATAATACTTTGAAAGGGTCTATTTTGTTTTTAATTTTAGAATGAAGCCCATTAGAAACCCTTTCACTTGGTGCAATTAGATCTAATGGTGGATTGGTCAATTAATTTTCTTAACTTGGTAAATGATTTACACATGCGCGCATTATGTATGTACATGTTTATGCATTTTCCACATTTCCTTTTTACTTAAATGTGTACACCCATTCACCACCTTTTTTGGTGTAGTGGTAAATGCACACGAAACTACACAGGTTTCTATGATACAGTCATAAACATGAAAATGAGGGCCCACCTTGCAAAGAAAATAGTCTTCACTCACAGCCGGGATCTGCTATGATGCTGCTTTGCTCCATCATTTGCCATTAGCCAGTATCTTTAGTAATTCAGTCTATTAACCACCCAAGTCTTTGGTTTATATCTGACAAACATCTTAGTGACCAAATGTTAAACTACATTGACTAAAAATACTAACATAAGAGTAGCAATCTTACAAAAATCAAATTCAAACTCTATATACACAGGAGAACACATTTCTTAGGTAAACTCACCTACGTAAGAACTCATTTTGTTCTTCAATTACTTTATTCTTTTTTTAGTTCAAAATGATCTCCTATCCCCAAGGAGAAGGGAAAAAGATCACTGAAGTTTAATAGTGTCAGAAGTCTACAGTTGCTAACTTAGGAAACAGATGAAAAAATGACCATTTGGCTTCAGTATTTACTTAACCAACTCTTAACCAACAAAACTCAGAATCCACATTCTGGTCAATCATTTGCAATCTCTAGACATTCATACTACTTGTGTTACAGTTAACTGGTCAACAAGTATTTATTGCTCTGCCAAACTGATGAAATAAGCATAGCAATAATAATAACTTCTGTTTAGGGCTACACATTCTAGAAATAAAACTTTTAAAAGAATTCTTATGTGTATAAAGACAGAAACAAAGAATATTAACAGAATGTGACCTGATAGCGCTAGTAAATGTCTTTTTTTTCCCCACTCGAGAAACATTGAAAGAATGTCTTCAAGACTCATTTTTTAAGAAAAGCATTTCACCCAGTATACACAGAAGACAATTTATAGTTGCCACTTGACTCTAAAGATCTTTCTGTTAACTAAATGCTAAAGGGAATTACCAGCTAATAAATGCCTATTGTCCTTTCCTGTATTCTTTAATTGGGACCACTACTAATTTATATGTATTAACCATGTTTAAAATTATAAAATCCAGATATTATAAAATTTGCAGAGTCATTAAAAGTTACATTTTAAACTAATATTATGTTTGTACTATATTTTAATATCTCAATTCCTGACAGCACACACACACACATTGTTTCCCCTTAGGAAAAGTGACACGTTAAATTAAAAAAAAAGAAAAACACCACAGAGGATTTCTAGGGCAATGAAATTATTCTGTATGATGCTGTAATGGTAGAAACATGTCAGTATGCATTTGTCAAAAACCACATAATGTAAACCACCAAGAGAAAACCCTAATATAGAGATTCTAATCAAGCACAATATGTCAGAATTGGCTCATCAACTGTAAAAAATGTACAACACCAGTGCAAGATGTTAATAATAAAGATGGCCGAGGGGTCGTGAGAGACCTAAGGGGGTAAATGTGAACTCTATGCTTTCCACTCATTTTACTGTAAACCTAAAACTAATCAAGAAAAAGAAAGCCTATTAAAAACAGAGAGAAAGAGAGAATTCAAACATCACGATCATCTCACCTTTGTATTTAAATTCAGTCATCAAAATTCATAAAGTATCCCCTTTGTCATCAGCTACAAATTTAAATCATTTTAGAAATGATGCTACTATTGAACGGTTTGGGTGCAATAAATCCTGTCAAGCACAAACCCTGTCATCTGAATTTTCTCCTTTCAGCGTGTGCATCTGTATCTTTGTTACAGCTTCCAGCTTAAGAATGACAGTGAACATGGGTCAAAGACTGTGTACAGATATCCATTCAAGTTACAAATCCAACAATTCCTACTCATTAATTATGAGCAACGGCCCACGGTGTAAATTAGAGCAATGACCAGGAAGCTGTCACCAGTATAGTACCTCTGTGGGAATCTAGAAGCCTGGTTTCAGAGGTGTTCTTAAAACTAAGAAGCTATTAAAATAGAGAGTGGAGAATAATGGCTCAGTCCTTAACATCTATGCCACTCTTCTTAGGTATTTAAGGAAGAAGGAGAAATGTTCCAAAAGTAGATATTCATGCTGGGTGTTACTTTAGCATTCCCAAGCCTAGGTTTTTCACTAGGGCTTCATTTAGAGCAATCTCAATGGCCTCAACCTAATGCTCAAGCCCCTTACGTCCAGGCCAGGAAAGGCATTCATCCTTGAGCATGAACTTGCCAAGAGGCCCCAAGTCTCCATAAGAAACACCAGGATTGCAAAGAATGCTTGAAATAAAATATGGATCCACCAAGGAAGATCTGTGGTATACCTACTAGGCATCTAGTGCAGAAATAATTTTTATACTAAATAGAAGTACTGATACATCAGGGTAATAGGTGTATCAATAATTCATAGAAGTTAAATTCTATGTTGACCTCTGAAAATGTTTCATGAAAATAAAATTGTTTCCACTAGGAAATATGTTCAGAACATAAGGGAAATTGTAATTTCCATGTTAACTGTGAAATTAAAAAAATTAGGAAAAACATAAATTAACTATTCATAGTAAAACTGAAATTTGTTTTAAAATAAATGAATAAATATCATCTACAGTTAAGGGAAAAAAAACCTGAAATTTGCTGTCCTCCATGGTCTTACAGTAGTTAATCTACCACTCTGATTTCTCAAAGTCAAAGCCAGAATTAAGCAAAATTTTAAAGGTGACTCAGAACAAAAAAAAACCAAAACAGCAATGACTGCCTTAGTTTCCCACATTATGTCTCTCATCGATTCACAATTTCAAGTATTTCATTTTTTCTCCGGAACTATGACTTTCATGTAAAGAATGTCTTTAAGTATTTTAATTCCTTCTTTTCTGTATTCCTTCCTTTGTATTCCCTTTCCAACCCCCAAATTAATTTGAATTCTACTCAGACTCACTTTTTATTTTGAAAAGCTACTTTATTTCAAAGTTTAAAGGGGGAAAAAAAGCATTTTTCCTAAGGAAACTCCCTTTGTCAAGTGGAAAAATTAAACTCTTTTTACTTCTCCAGAATGAACACTGGAGGTATTCCAAGTATTGACAGGACCATTCTCTGCTACTAAGATGCAAATAACTGTGCCATGAGCACAGATCAGATCCCTGCTTGGGTCCCCTAAGGCATCCTCAGCTGACAACAGCAGGCCTCAAAAGGTTAACTTGCCACTTACAGACCCAGCTTAGCCTCCCCTTGGTCGGGTTCTTAGGACCAACTCAGGAACATCCTGAAAAAATATTTAAATGACTTAACTATTCAAGAAGCTAAATCTGAATGATGAGGAAATAATGTGAATAGAAATAAAGAAACATTCCAAAAGTCCAAATGCTTCTGTAAAATACAATTGGCTGTCATAGGATCTTTCTGTGGCAGCAGCCCTCACAAACTTTTCTGGGCATCAGGGACATCGGGCTTGACCATTAAAACTCCACTGGCAGCAGTTCCTGGACAAGGAACCTGTCGGGGGCTTAGGAAAACTGCATGAGTAATAAGGACCTTCACACTACCGTCAAGGTCTGACCATGACCTTAGTGTTAGGTTTACCTTTGTCTCCTCCCTCCGCCTCACTTCTACCTATGTATCACCTGTACACTATCTCTGGATACCAGTCTGTTTCCACACTGGTACAGAAAAATTCATGAAAACCATCTTTGATGCCATCAGCAGCTATTTACAGAAGGATTTTTTTCTCTTTCAATGCATGTTGTCACTCTTTCCATCCTAAAGGAAAAGGTTAAAGGGAGTTAAGGTCATACTTATCAACCTTTTGTATTTTTTCTTCTACCTGGAAAATTATATAAATGACTCATATTGTTGCCCATTCCCTAATCTTTCCCTTCATTTCCAAATAAAAACATCAAGCTGTCAAATATGGATTTGGGCTAAATTATTTTTTTCAAAGGAATGCATGATAAGGGAGGAATGCCTGGCTCTCCTGCTGACCGTACCTCTCTCTGCACTGTTGCCACTGTTCCAGGGTTTGTGAACTCGTGATTTCTTTACCTGACCTATGCATATAGTTCACCTGAACTATCCAGCCACCTCCACTCATCGCCTCCATTGGCAGGCTAAGACCTGGTTATAGTGTGTTTAGAAAGCCCGGTAGCTAATATGCCTTTTCTATAAAACAAAAGTCTATGTGACTTTCTAGTAAGACTTCCAGGGGCCCATTCCAATATTGTATTTCTCACATTTCAGAAACTAAGCATATTCAGTATATTAAAGCTATGTTCCTTCTGTAGAATTCCTTTATACTGCACTGCAAGTAAGTAACAATACACTTAGAATTCTTTAGCAAGACCTTCCTGTCAACACAGGGCTCATGGGGAAATAACCATGTATTTCATAAATAGCTTAATTCAAAGCAAGAGCTGAGTGCTGCAATAACCTCCAAGTAGGTGTAAACCCCAGCATTTAAAAGACTGAATAGTGTTACCCATGACATTAATAATATTGAAAAAGACAACAAATCTTGTATTGATCATGGAAAAACAGAAGAAAGCAAATATTGTCGAAACGTTAGACTCTTACCAGAAATGGACTCCAGCAAATGCAGGAGACACACATGATAGCCAGGAGTTGGATGACCATTTCGAAATGATGAGACCTGCCTTGTCTGTGGTGCTGACTTCTAAATTTAACTCTTAGGAGTGTAATCCCTGTGATGGCATTGCACAAGAATGAAACACCAAGGGCTAAGAGCCCCAGAAAAGAAAAAAGTAGAAGGTAAAACCTGTCTTCCCAGTCTTGGATATGTTCTGTTTTGTAGAAACACCAGGTCCTTGATGCTTGAATTTTATAGTCTCGATGCCCAAAGATGGGTAGCAAAGCTATGAAAATAGCAAACAAGCACACACCGCTCAACATCACCTTCACATGCTTGGACGTAATTTTTGTAGAATGAAATATTGGTTTGGTGACTCCAATACATCTCTCAATGGCCATCACACTGCCTAGAAAAAGGGGGCACAGACCAGAAAATACCATGGAGATACCAAAAATGCTACAAAGGATGTTAGATTGGTTAAAGCGGATCCAGTCTTTATCAGAAGCATACACGAATACTGCTATAGTCCCGTTGACAAGGTGGCCGAAGAAGTCTGTGATTACTAGGCCACTAGCCAAGAGCAGAAACGATGCCTTGGACTTCTGTCTGAATCTCTGATATGCCTTCATGAGTATGGCGATGGCGAGGCTGTTTGATACTATTCCCACCGTCATGAAGATTACTGAAAAGAAGACTGAAAGCCGGTGTTCCGTCTGGCAAGTTGTATTTGAAAGGAGCCCAGCTGCAGCAGACACTGACTGTTTGGAATTGTTCATGGACATCGTTGTGGAGAAGGAAAAAAAAAAGCCGGCTGCTCAAGTCATCTCCCTCTCAGGATAGTGCAGGCTTTCGTCCAGGCATCTGCAGGAGAAAGACAGGAATTTTGAGCACTGCCTAACTAACTGCTCATCTGACAGTTAACACTGGAGGGCCCCAAGTACCTTGTGGCAGGACTCAGCGTTATCTAACCTATCATCAGCAAGGTTGCATCATCCTGAAAGCAGCGCACATCTGCCTCTGGTGCCAGATTTCATTGTCAAGGTGAAGAAGCTGCCAAAATTGAGCTCCCTTGATTAAACTTTTCACAGGTTTACAAAATCACTAACAAGATTAGCTTTAAACCCAATCATGTTTTTAAAAGTATAAGAGTCTACTTAAATAACTAGATGATCTTTTAAAGTTTCTGTTTGTTGTTGTTGTTTTTTCTCTCAACTGGGCTTTGTTTCCAAACTGCAGATTATTTCTTAGGTGAACTGCCTGTTTGTCAGGTAGACAAAACAATCTTCTCCAGACCTTGGGAGGGGGCAGCAAGGTCACTCTGGAGCTTTCCTGAATACGTTCTAGACCTATTTGATTGAGATCAAATACCAGCACACCACACACATCATCACCCATGGAAGGCAGAGTGGTGAGTCTCTAGGAAGGATTTCTGGTCCAGCTACCACCTGAGCAGAAATCCTGGGTTGCGATGGAAAGAAAAAGAGGTGAGTTGTGCTTACTGTGAGCACATCAGCCCAGATGGTGTTGATTAAGCTGCAGCTTGAGGGAAGCAACATCCAAAACGAAGTATTTACTGTCCCTCTTTCCCTAGTGACTAGAAGCCTGAGTCACAGATTCTCCATACCCACGACCACAGCCACCCCCGGCCACGCCCCGCCCCCGAGGTAATCGGATTGGTGTTTCCGAGCAGCTTTCCCGGAGGCTGGGAATTCTGGAGCCAGCCTTTCCCGCGACCCGCCTGACTGGGTCTCCCAGAGCTGTCCGGAGGACCGCCGCCTCCTTCAAATCTCAACGCCGGACTTTCTCCCGTTAGTACCCCGTCGCCCTCATACGCCTGCTTGCAACATCATTCCCAGCCTCCTAACTTGGTGAAACTTTCTGCAATCGCTCAAATGCTAGGGGACCGGTTTTCCTCCCATCCCAGGGGGGAGCCAAAGGCCTGCGCTGGCCGGGGTGCCGGACTCAAAGTGTCGAGAACACGGAACTACGGGACACGAAGGGGATCTCTTTCTTGCCCATTTCTCTACTCTGAGACCTTGTCTACCTGGCCCCCATACCGCAGCTGAGAATCGGCACGGATCATCCCGAGTACCCTCTCCCTACGGGTCTCCCCAGCTAGGGGCATCTGGTCCAAACTTGTTACCACGCGCAAGCTAAGGTGCTCTCCAGGGCAGGGCTCTGCAGTGGGCGCCTGGTGCCCGGGGCTGGGTGGCTAAACTTCAGTAGCGCTGAGCATCAGGAAGCCAGCGCTCGGGAATCCAGGGGTAGGAGGAGTGGTTACCTTGGCTTCCACGGGTTGCCGGCAGGGCTCAAGGCGGAGCAGAAGAGTGCGCCCCTCCGCAAGCCATCGCGCGCCCCTCCCCCCTCTGCTCCGCTACCACCGGTGGCTCCCGGGCGCAGCGCCGCGCTCCCTCTCCGGGTCCCGGGTCAGTCTCCCGCTGAGTCTTGCTGCGCTTCCCGCCTTGCGCTCCCCCCAGAGCAGAACCAGCAAATCGCACCCGCCTCTTCGGATCTCTCAGCACCTAGCTGCGCTCGCAGTCCGGGCAGGATGGAGGACAAGGGTGACCTCCGCCCCTTCCTCTTCTCTCTCCTCTCCGCCCCTTTTCCGTGAGCCAGGAGCCGGACCAGGAGAGAGGAGGGCATTGCGCTAGGATGCTATGACCACTAACAGCATCAGGGCTGCCCCCTGAACAGCCCGGCCACTTGGGGAAAAGTTTTGTTTTAAACCCATTTTCAAGCTAAAGGCGCCATGTCTAAGGCTGCAAGTTAGGAATCTGGAGAGCTGAGGAAAGTCTACATACAGCTGTGACAGCATGTCGGACTGTCAGATTGTAGTTTGCAGACTGAGCTCCAAAGGGATAAAGCTGCAAACCCAGCTCGAAAGGATAAAGAAACCAGGTAGAAATATGGAGATGGTGTATTTGAGGACGGGCCTTGTGGCCGATAGCCTCAGGGCAGGGATTCAAGCCAGGTGTTGTGAGTGGAAAGAGTCACTGTTTAGGACTCACTGTCACTCAGAGGACTGGACTATGTTGCAAGCTTTCCAAGTAATGTGACAAGGGATGTGAGGTATTCTTGAAGGACGCCTGCAGATAAGGGACTAGTTACCTTTTAATGATTTAAGAATTTCTAGTGATATGTTTACCCAAAGAGATGTGAGCCTAGCAAATTTTGTGGAGATCATTTTACGATCAAGTAAAGAAATATCCACTATTTCATTGGAAATTATTATTTGAGCCATTTTAATTCTGTTACTGCTTTTGACAATATTGTTTTGACCCAATTCCTATTAATTAGTTCTCATTTTCCAGTTAAACAGCTACAGGAATCATTACGGATGTCTGCTCTCTTTGTTTTAGTAAAATATCACCACCATCTATGGGAAAAACTAGGGCCACAGGGAAATAAATCCTCCTTTCTCCATTCTAAAATCAGAAGGGGCCTCTAAATTCCTGGAAATTAAAAAGGATCATAAAATGCTTAAGCAAGATAAAATATATTAGCCATTAACTATAGAAAAGAACAATTGCAGTTTTCCCCTGTGGTAGATATTGAGATTTTTTTAAATGACATGTTTATAACTTGTAAAATAAACTGTTACTCAGGTCTGGTCAGGAAATTGTACAATTTGGTTAATCAAGTGTTCTGGTTAGTTGAGAAATATTACATCTGGATGGCTACTCTCCAAAAAAAAAAAAATGTAATGAATCACAGTAAAAATGTGAATGACCTACAACACTCTCTTTTAATGATTAATAGCACTTTACATCGCAATTATCTTTTACTTAGGTCTTTCCTACTGAACTGAATTCCTGCAGAGATTCCTTCATCCCTTCATCTTCACATAGGACCATGCTTGGTCATTTCTCAGACGCTGTTTGAATTCATTGATGTTACCATCAGCATTTCCAGTATTGTATCAGTATCTCTCACTGCAGCACCTCATTGACATCAGCAGTTCTGGGTAAAAAAAACAAACCAAAAGAAATAATTAATGCAATGTCAAATCATAACATTCACTATGTAATATATTCAAAAATATTGATTTGGTTTTCAAAGTACTAGATAAATCCAATTTTTTTAAAAAGTATCTAATTTGCATGTATTCTTGGAGTTCCTTTTTTAGAATCCAGTCCTTAATCAAGATATATTTAACCTGAGTATCAATAAAAGACTCTAAGGCATCCACACCCCTCTTCCCAAGATAGAAATAGTTTTAATACTATGAATAGTGTTAATAGTTGTAATATGGGGACTAGTAGTATTATGTAGTTATAATTTGGGAAATCAAATAACTAGGTACTCTTAAAAGAAAAAATACACAGAACACACACACACAAGTGCCCAGGTAAGAAAGAAGAGCTGGTGAATCAGCAGATGAGGGAAATAAACAGATCAAAAGTTCATGGATATTGGGGAGTGGCTGATAAACTCTACTGATAAGTGGTAGGTGATATTGTTACTTCTGAGAAGTGGGAACTCACATAAAACTATTCATTACCCTTCACTCAACAAATTTCTTGAGCACCTACTTTGGGTCAGGCTCTGATTCTAGGGAGCAGAGGTATAGCTGTGCAAGCAAAGCATGCCAGCCTCCACTCTGATGCAGCTTCCAGGCTGAGGGAAGGCCCTTCGGTGGCATGCATGCATGCTCAAAACCTTACTGTGATTCTACATGTCCAGGATTCCTTGTGTTAAATTCCAGCCCCTCTGCAAGAGGATAACATACCGTGGCAGGTGTGTGCTTGGCAATCACCATTCAGGATTAGATACAGGACATTTTGCTCAAAAGATGTGTACACTATAATTAAAGACAGAGAAGCAGGGACTCAGGGATACTGAGGTTGAAATAAAAACTCTAAAAATTAAAGGGAGTGTTGGAAGTTAATTTTTATAGTTTTAATAAAAATGTCAAAGAAAGCTTTCCTAGAATTTGCCATAAAAGATTAATAGTAGAGACATGCCCCAGTTTGGTAGTAATGGAAATAATAACTTCTTCTGTCATTTTATTTTTATTATGTAGCTATTTGTACATAAAAAGTAGCATGGAATACAGTTATGTGTTGAATGATAATATAAAATAAACACTCATGCACCACCTACCTAGTTTAAGGACACATTCACTTCCTAGGTTTGTTGTAATAAAGTACCACAAACTGGGTGGATTAAGCAACAGAAATTTGCTTACTTATTTACTTACTTACTTATTTACAGTCTGGAGGGTGGAAGTTCAAAAACAAGATGCTGTCAGGGCTGGTTCCTTCTGAGGGCTGTGAAGGAGAATCTGTTCCATGTCCCTTGTGTAGCTTCTGGTGATTTGCTGGCAATCTCGGACGTTTCTTAGCCTGTAGTTGCATCATTTCAATCTCTACCTTCATCTTCTCATCTCATTCTTGTGTCTCAGACCTCACATGACTATCTTCTTATAAAGACCACAGTCATATCGAAGTAGGGGTACGCCCTACTCCAGTATGACCCGATCTTAACCAGTTACATCTGCAATTACCTTATTTCCAAATAAAGTCAAGTTCTGAAGTTCTGGAGGTTAGAACTTTGACGTATCTCCTGGGGGTGGGGAGAGCCATTCACTCCGTAAGAAGAACTATACTAGAACATCACTAACATTCTTATACCTGTCTGTATGTTTCTGCCTCCATTCAGATGCTCCCTACCCTTCCCCAGAGATAATGGAGATAACCACTATCCTAAATTGTATTTATCATCATTCTCTTCCATTTTATTGTTCTGTCACATAAATGTGCAGATAAACCAATATAGAATTTAAATTTTCTTGTTTTGTAACTTAACCTTATGGAACTTGCTTTTTCTATGTAAGATTTGTAAGATTCATTCATATTGTTGTATATGGCAGTAGTTTATTCATTTACAAAGTTCTATAATACCTCACAGTTTAGATATCCAAATGTTTTAAATATTATTTTGTGATTAACCATTGGGGTTATTTCTAGGGTTTTTAATTTTATTCCTTTTATTCATTTATCTTTAGAGGGGAAGGGAAGGAGAGAGGGAGAGAAATATCAATGTGTGGTTGCCTCTCACGCATCCCCTGCTGGGAACTGGCCTGCAACCCAGGCATGTGCCTTGACTGGGAATCAAACTGTGATCCCTTAGTTCACAGGCCTGCACTCAATCCACTGAGCTACACCAGCCAGGGCTATTTCTCGTTTTTTGTCCTCAAGAAATATTCTGCTATGAGTGGTCTTACATTCAACACCCTGTGCCAGAGTTTCTCTAGGACATGTGCCTAGAGTGATATTACTGCTTCATAAGGTATGAGAATGCACAACACCACAAGGTAATGCTGAAATCAATTCATACCACTTAGAATTATTCCCTTTTGGCCACATTCATTACAATGCTTGGAACCGTCAAGCTTCTTAATTATTATCAACTAGATGGTTGCAAAATGATATCACTTTGTGGACCTATATTATATTTCCTTTTGCATTCATTTTTCTTCTACAAAATATCTGTTCACCTCCTTTGTCCAATTCTCTATTGGGTTGTTCATCTTTTTCTTAATTATTTATATGTTCTAGACACTAATCCTCTATCAGTTATGTTTTGCAAACATCCTTTTCCAAATCACAACTTGCCTTCATTTTGTCTATCATTTTTTTACAAAGAGTTCTTAAGCTTAGTGTAACCAATTAAGTATATTAGATCTCATTTTTTGTGTTTTATTTTTGCAATTTTCTGTTGAATCTTAAAAGTCCTTTCAGAATTATTTACTGGATTATAAATATATTCTACTACATATTTTCTAAATATTTTAACATTTTTGCCTCCCACATTTAAGTCTTTAATGTTTCAGATAATAACTTTTTAACATTATGTGAATTAGAAATCCAACGTTTCTCTCCATATGGATAACCAATTTTTGTGGGATCACTATTAATTAATCTCTTCATTATGGGATGGATTTTATATCCTCCAAACTTATATATTCATATTCTAATCCCTGGTAATTCAGAATATAATCTTATTTGGAGATAAGGTCTATACAGAGGTAATCAAGCTTAAATGAAGTCATCAAGGTGGGCATCAGTCCAATGTGACTGCTGTCCTTAGGAATAGGGGATTTGGAGACACACATACAAGAACAGAACATGAAGATGCCAGCTACAAGCCAACAAGGGAGTCCTGGAATGGAATCTTCCCTTGCAGCCTTCAGAAGGAACCAGCCCTGCCAACACTGATTTTGGACTTCTAGATTCCAGAACTGTGAGACAATAAATTTATGCTGGTTTAATCCACTCATTTTGTGGTATTTTGTTATGGCAACAAATTTATACACTCTCCCTCCACCACTAATCTGAATATATATATCTTATACATCAATTTTCTATATATGCATAGAAAAGTTATTATTTATTGACTGCTTACCATATCATAAAAACTATACTAGGTGCTTTAATCATGGTATCATATTTAATCCTCTAAGCAAAGGTATGAAGTCCAAATGGCCATTTTCTCTCACCTGAATTATGGATACCAACTCCTCCTAATCATCTCCTTCTTTGCCCCCAACCCATTGCCCCATGCAATCAGATTGATCTGTTGAGTATATGCTCCAAGACCAGACTGGCCAAGTTCATGTTCAGGGTCCTCCACTTATAACTAGTTTCATAATTTTAGAAAATTACTGAATTCTTTTATGCCTTGGTTTTCTCATTTCAGCAATGCAAAAATAGTAATAATAACCACCTCATGAACTTGCTATAAAAATTAAATTAGTTAAGTGCTTTGAAGAATACCTAGTGTTTTATATGTAGTACATACTATCTCTTTATAAAATGTTGGGCCCCAATTTATGGGGCTTAATGGCTTCCCATTTCTCATCATTTCCCCCAAGCAGACTCTGAGAGCTTCAGTTCAGAAAAAGTTAATTTTTACTATTAATTAGATTTAGGAAAACTGTTAAATCCTTTACCAACAAGTATTAATAGATACTAATGTGCACTGTGAATCTTCTAGAAAGGAGCAAATGCTCATTGAGCTCCACTGGATTTGGTCCCCCTGGGAAATACTGTTTGGAAAGTGAGTTTGTTATCCTGAGAATAAACTCTGATTCAAGGCAGCTATTCTTCCCCTGGGGCTTAACCCTCATTCCTCACCCCTAGAACTCTTTGCCTCAGCAACATTGACATTGTCAGCTTCTGAAACCTGCCTCTTAGTCTTCGTTCATCTTTGATTTTGAACAATCTTCCTTCAAACCTTCACACATTGCTTGATTCCTATTCAGGCTTCAGGGCTGAGCACCCCATGGGTTAGTGTGCGTTCTGTACACTGGGCTACCCTCATGTCTATCATCACCATTGTGTTTTCAGCACTCTGCACATACCATGGAGGTACTCAGGAATGAATGAATGAATGAATGAATGAATGAAGGCATACCGCAGATGTGGAAACCCAAACACAAAGAAGTAACGTGCCTGATTAGAATGGCAAGCACATGTGACAAAACCAAGTTTGTTTCACCACAAAAACTGTACGCTTACCAACTTTTTACATTGACTCTGGGTTTAATAAATCACAAAGTGCTGTCCTTTATACACAGAGCTTGTTGCTGCTAATCCTGCCACCAAAAGAGCAGATGCCTATATTTTTTTTAGGGCAAAAAAATTTGCAATAACCCATCTATGTTTTTTCATAATATTCAAGATCAACAGTGGCACTTTTTTAGCACTAATGTTTTGTTAACTCTTCATGACAGGATCAGAAATAGAAAGTCTGTGAGGTGGGAAGAAGGGGAAGGTTGCTATGCCCAGCACTGTGACAGGCTCTCTTAATGAACACATTAACACCACCAGAAGGTTATTTTCATGTTCATTATACATGAGAGAGGTGAGTAAACCAGCTCAATGAGCATGAATTATTTGCCCAAGATCACAAAGCTATGCCGAAAGTACGATACAACCCAAACCTGAAGTACCCAGCTCTCCCTGTTCTATTCAGAGGACACAGAGCAGTACAGACCCTCTTAAACCACCTGTCAATTTCCACCTGCCCTTCAGCCTGGACCCTGCTTCTGGCCACACCCTCCAGAGCCTGGATGCCTACCACTATTTTTTATTTATTCTACCAATTTGTTGGACTCTTAAAGTGAGCAAGGCATTGTGCTAAGGCCACTTAAATGCAAAGACATGTAGCCCCAGTTCTCCTGCCCTCAAAGAACTTAAGATCTAGAATGGCATGCTAGTTGTTATTAACAATTCCCTATTTTTTAAACTTGTTCTTACTTTTAAAATTTATTAATTTTTAGAGAAAGGGAAAGGGAGAGAAACATCAATCTATGTGTGGTTGCCTCTCGCAAATCTTTAACTGGGGACCTGGTGCGCAACCCAGGCACATGCCCTGACTGGGAATCAAACCTGCAACCACTGAGTTCACAGGCCAGCACTCAGTCCACTGAGCCACACCAGGCAGGGTTCAACTTTTCTTCCCAGTGCACCTTCATGTTGTTCCATACTCCCATTTGCTCTTTTGGAATTTTCCTTCCTGACTTACCTGATTCCAATATTTGGTATCGATAGCTAGGATTCAACTTAAAAACAAATTTAATCCACCTAGTTAACTAAATGGCCTTGAGCAGGTGGGACACAAGACATAGTGTTTGACAAGAGAGAAAATAACAAGCAAGAGTTTGCTTTGTGAAACAGAATGGACCAGGCACAGCAGCACAGAAGGGCCTGAAGGCACGGAGGCCCCCAGCACTGGGTGATGGAAAGGAGGACAGTGTTACACAGAGTACTTTGCCTCCTTCACTTGTTTTGCTCATGCTTGCATATGAAAAGATATAAATTTACATCTACTGAGAACTAAGTTTCAAGGACCATGTTAAACACTTCACATGTATATTTCATTAACTTTTCACAAGAACGCTATAAAAACAGGTACAACCATGATTCTCATTTTGCACTGAGGCACAGAAAGGTGAAGGTGTTAACTCACATAACAGTAGAGGAGGAATTCAGTCCTAGGTCTGATTGATCCTGAGCCCCTTGACCTTCACCCCTGGCCCATCCTGCCTCACTAAAAATGATAAGCATACCTTGCTAGGACACACAGGGTTGTCCAAGGCCTGGTGGCTGTCTGGCAATGTCTTTTTGTAGCTAAGTGGTTATCAGGGTCCTCTTAATTCCTTGACTGCATTTAATACTTGTCCACAGTTTTCACATGAACTTCACTTTAGTGAAACTTCAAAACACCAGCAACCAAATTCAAAGTGAATCTGAAACCAACATGAAGAATAATGAGAGCATCCCTGGAGAAGTAAAGAAATTCATCTCTTAAAAAAATGACCATTAGTCTTTTTTTAATAGGAATTTTATTAAACATCTAATTTGCTTTGGGGAGTATGATCATTTTAGCAATTTGCTCTTTCCAAATTTTCTGCACAATTTATTCTTCCAATTTTTTCTTGCCTTTAATTTTTCCTTCAATGTCTTATATTATTTTACTTTTGTTCAAATACAGTTGACTCTATTGCCCCCCCAATGCCCCCCTACCCCATCCCTCCCCACCTTCCACTCTCAATTCTATCCCCTTTGCCTTTGTCCATGTGTCCTTTACACATGTTCCTTAGGACTCTTCCTTTTCTTTCCCCATTACCCCCCTCCCCTCTGGTTACTGTCAGTTTGTTCTTTATTTCAATGTCTCTGGTTATATTTTGCTTGCTTGTTTGTTTTGTCAATTAGGTTCCACTTATACATGAGATCACACGGTATTTGTCTTTCACCACCTGGCTGATTTTACTTAGCATAATGCTCTCCAGATCTGAACATTAGTCTTGAATGGCAATTCAAGTAGAGATTGAAAGGGGAAATACTGATAGGTTCACAGTTCCTCTAACTCAGCTCAAAAAGAAAACTGCTTTTCTAGAAGATGGAGCCTTCATTGTGGAAACAATAACAACAAAACCTGAGCTCCAAGGTAAGACTGGTTTCTTGGACATGCAGTCAGTGCCATCTTGAAATTCTGAATCATTGTATCTTTGATACTGGGTTTTGTAAGTGAGGTCCAATAGGATGATAGAGCAGACACCAGGACTTAGAATCTCTGATGCTTTCCTGCACTAGCCCTCCTCACTCTGATGAGCCTACCTGGGACAGGTTTTCAGCTACCAAGACCCCAGCCAGACTCCCCCTCCCTACTTCTACCCTATAATTGCTACCAATCTCCACCTAGGAAGGACCCTGGCCATGAGCTTGGGTAGGGTTGGGTCAGGCATATAACCTGTGGCATCTCCATAGCTACTGGCAGTTCCACTCCAGGTGAGACTTGTCTGGGCCAAGGCAGAGGCAAGCCTCTCACCCACCCTTGTTCAAGCATTGAAAACATCTGGACACAGAGGCTTAAGACATTTAGGGGTCACCCATCTATCATGGGCTGGAGTAGTGGGTCCACAGAGACAGGGGACACCTGGCTTGACTCCCCTAGCCCCCACCCCCTGCTGGGGCACTGCACATAGGTCCCTCGTCTGTTGGAAGGAGGAACCCAGTAGCCATGAAGCCCAAGCAAATACACACCCCAAATTATAGTGGGGGATCTTTAGGTAACTCTGAGGGTCTCCATGGGCCCCATGAGTATCTCTATGTCCCCAAGTGCCCCTCAGCCTGCCTCATGCCTGGGGGATCCTCTCTTCTTCCAAACTTTCTCATTCATTGTCTTGTTTGTCTCTGACCATCTAGAGGGACCCTCAAAGGACAAGCCCTACAATACAAATCATGTGATTTCCGTGACTTCACACACCAAGTCAAGTCACTGGTATTTGCATTTGAATTGCACAATATAGAGATAAACAATAAAAATCATGTTAATAATTAAACATTTTAATTTGTCTTTACTTAGAACACCAAATAGCAAATAAACAGCACCATGACAAGATGCTAAAAAGATTAGGAAACAAAAGAAAAAGCTTTATTTTTTTACCTTCAACAGCATTTCTTTCTGCTTTTTCTCTCAGCTTCTACACATTGAACACTGGATCTTAGTCATCCATATATCCCTATTGTTGTGCCTAGGTTATAACATACAACAATAAGTATTCAGTGAGTGAATACATTCCTATCACAATTTTGCCTTTTTGCAGGAAAAACTTTCACCTGCTAAATTGCCAAAAAGTCTCCATCCTCTGTATTTTTGTCTCATCCATAAAACTTAGCATAATTCCTTTGTTTGTTTATTAATGTGTACTAAAGATCTATATATATTTTTTTCACTTGTCTCAATAACCATATCTCTCAAGATAATATGAAGTAAAAATAAAAACCACAGGCTGAATATATTAAAACAAAAAATACTCTCAAATTATCCAACACACATGGGAGGAAAAATTTCAGAGGAAAATTCAGGCTGATTCTCAGCCTGAATTATGCAACTAATTACCCACATTCTCCAGGACAACATGTGGAGACGTCTCGGCAGGGCCGAAGCACACATCCCATTTTCGAACAGCCGGTGATACCATACTCTAACGCCATCAACTTCCATTGTAAAATGGCCAATGATTCTTCCATTGTAAAATTTTTAAAAATCAAACTGAAAATTAAAAGTACTGTATGGTCATGAGTTTTTTTTAGTTCAAAACCATCTTGGCTTTCAGAGTGTGGCTTTTTCTGACAGTGAAAGGACCTCCTCTTGTGAAAGTGTGTCAGAGCCAGTTATCGCTAAACAGAGAGGACAAAACTGCTGTCAGAACACTGTGTCCTTAACAGAGGGAACTTTGACTTTTTCATGAGTGTTGGAAGTTTGTTCTTTCACATAATCAAGTCTTTATTCTCAATAGGATAATCATCAGGCAGAAATGTCTCTCTTTCCAGAATGCCTCGCCTCTACATGGAATACCTGCTGTGTATGTCGGCTACAGTTGATGCTTTAAACACAATTGAGTGAGAGTAAAACTTCGTCTCAATGTAGATTCTCCTGACGTCTCAATTCCCTTAAACAATCCCAGGTATCTAACTTGTCAAAATATTAGTCACTGTCAATGCCTCCACTCTCCCTACCCCACCAATAGCTCAACACACCAAGTCAGTCATGAATTAGCTGATTATCTTGAACACATGACTTGCCTCTTCTGAGCTTCGAATGTCGTATCCACACACTTGACTGCAAAATGCAAAGGAAAGAACAGGAGGAAAAATACCTAGGCTAGAATGGTCTTTAGGATTCTGTATTAGTCAAATTTCTCCAGAAACACAGATCAGTAAGGGGTGTGTATGTGTGCATTACTACATTAGGGTTCAGTCACAGGTGGGGGATCCAGGTTCAGCCCCAAGGCAGTCTTCTGTAGAATTCTCTCTTGCTTGCAGAAGCCTTTTGCTCGAGTCCGGTGTTCACTATGCATATGCACACACATATCCTATTTGTTCTGTTTTCTGGACAACCATGCTACAAACTTCTAATCCTACCCACTGGCCTGCTAAATGAAATGAGCCCTCCCATACACCATAGAGGAGGGCAGGGCACCAGCCAGTTGGGAAAGCATTCAATGCAGAGAACCAGTCACACAAGAAACAAGAGCATAGAATAAGAAACCAAGAGAAAAGCCAGTTTGTAAAGACTAAGTGAATGTAGTGAAATCAGTGAAAGACTCATCTCACTGGACACGCAGGTACCTGGGCCTCAGCCCACAAAGTCCATATACAAGGTCTGCTGCAGTAACCCTTGGCTACTTGTCTCAGTCCACTGATACACCCCTATCTAAGATTAGAACAGGTCCAGGTATCTGCAAAGGGTAGCTGGAGAGTACAAGGCTAGGAACTCCTTGCGAATATTGGTTTATTCATTTATTCAACAAATATATACTTGTTTGGCTTAAACAAAATTCTGGATGCAATGATTCTAGACTTTCTGGAGTGAGTTGGCCATGAAATGATAAAGTCAAATTTTAAGTGGGTGGGAAACCTTTACTGAAACTGGCATAGTAGACATAATCCAAGTATAACATGGGAAAAGGCAGGGAAGTTCAGCTCAAAATCATACCATGTCTGCAGCTGATTTTTTATTTTACCCACATCAGGATGTGGAATGGAAAACACACAGGCTAAAGCTTGCTGCCACTGCAAGGCGGAAAGTGACTAGAATATCAAATAAGGCCCTAGGCCAGGACCATGCTGGCTGTCACTGCGTTGTTGCCATGAGTCCAGGCCATTCCGCCACACAGGCCTGCGGCAGCCCAGCCGTAGACCTGCGGCGAACTGAAACTTGGCTGCCACAGACCTGTGGCACAGACTAAGTTCTCATACTTTGATGCCCATGCCTCACACATAGAATCTGCTACAGTGTCAAATGCATTAAATCCAGATGTAAACTACACTGAAAGTGGGTGCTGTCATTCAAAACTATACGCCAAAAGACAAAAAAACATATAGGAAGAAATTATTTCAGCAAAATTATGAGTTTGACCTTAAAATAAGCAATCAGAAATTGATAAAATAGAAGAAGTCATCGATATCAGGGCTGAAATTCAGCGGGCTTCAAATAGAGTCCTTACATACTTACACTCAGGAGCAATAGATCATGTAACGTCTAATCATTGTGTTGTACACCTGAAGCTAATATAATATTATATGTGAACTCTAATTAAAAAATAAAAATTATTTAAGGTCATAAAAGAATAAATAAGTTGCAAAAAAGAGCAATAAAAAACGTTTGTCTAAGACACATAAGCAGCTGATTGATATTATTCTTCCACACTGTCTAATGTTCTAAAGTAATTTACATATCTCTGTGTCTATGGTTATCTACTCCTTTCCCCAATCAATAATTTATTCCAACTGAAAACAATTTAACCGAACTGACCAGATAGGTATTTTCTTGCAGAAAATAGCTGCTGGTAAATCTGTAAGTCGGCTTCCTCTCCCCAGTGGCAGGCTTTACCGGCCTGTGCCATCAGCCTGCAGCTGCCTATCTAGTCTTCGGTCACCGTCCCTTTCCTCTAATCCCCCTGGCCTTTTTTCATTAAACACCTCAGGACATTTGTCCTGCAGTTCTCTCTGCCTGGAATAATTTTCCCACAGATATTCGCTTACCTAACTCCTTTACCACCTTCCCCTCTGTGCTCAAATCCCACCCTCTCAACTCTCAATGAGTCTATTCTATGGACACTAGTTATGCCGTAAACCATCCGCCACCCACCGTGCCTCAGCCACACCTCTGCATGGATCAGGTCCCCTCTGTCCCTCTCACCAGTGCTTCTTTTCTTCTTTCTCACCATACTTTTTACCTTCTATCATATTGTGTGATTTATTTATTTATTGTCATCGTTGTTTACTGTCTGTCTCCTTCTGTAGAATGAAATCTCCATGAATACTTTTGTTTTCCCAGGCTGCTGTAACAAATTACCGCAAAATTGGTGGCTTAACCCAACATGAATTTGTTTTCCCACAGTTCTGGAGGTCAGGGTGTGAAATCAGTTTCACCTGACCAGAGTCAGCACGTGGGCAGAAAGGCTCTGAGGGGAGAATCCGTTTTTCCCTTTTTTCATCTTCTCATAGCCTCCCACATTTCTTGGCTCATGGGCCCTTCTGTCTTCAACATACACTGCTCTCATCTTCATTGCGTCCTCACATTGCCTTTTCCTGTTCTGAAGGAAAATCTTCCTCTGCCCCCTCTTGTAAAGACACTTGTAATTACATTTAGGGTTCACTGGGATATACAAGAAAATCTTTTTTTTAAGTTTGGTTTTTATTTTATTTATTTTTCAAGTACAGTTTTTTGTCTATTTCTCCCATCCCAGCCCACCCCGCCCCATGCTCCCCACCTCCCTCCCATTTCCACCCCCCTTAGTTATTGTCCCTGTGTCCTTCAGACTTGTTCCTCCAAATCCCTCCCCTTTTTCCCCTTAAATTCCCCTCCTTCTCCCCTCTGGTCACTGTCCCCTTGTTCTCTATTTCAGTGCCTTTGTTTTTATTCTGCTTGCTTGTTTGTTTTGTTGTTTAGCTTCCTGTTAAAGGTGAGATCATATGGTATTTGTCTTTCAACACCTGGCCTATTTCACTCAGCATAATGCTTTCCAGTTCCATCCATGTTGTTGCAAAGGGTAGTAGCTCCTTCTTACTCTCTGCTGCATAGAATTCCATTGTGTATATGGACCACAATTTTTTGATCCAGTCATTTACTGACGGGCACCTAGGTTGCTTCCAACTCTTGGCTATTGTAAATTGTGCTGCTATGAACATTGTGGTGCATAGGTTCTTTGAAATTGATGTTTTAGGATTCTTCGGATATAATCCTAGCAGTGGAATTGCTGTCTGTAGATCCTTAATCACAACTGCAAAGTCACTTCTGCCACATCGGTAACATATTCACCAGTCCCAGGGATCATGATGAACATTTCTGGTGGGCATTTTTCAGCCTACCACAATGAGGATAGGAATTTCATCTGTTTTGTTCCCTCGAGTAGCTCACACCCAAACCTTCAGCACAGTAGGGGCTCAGTAAACACCTGTCAGATTAGTAAAGTTAAACTGCTATAAAAAGTAGCATCATATAGGCAGTTTAAAATATTTAGTTCAGAACTTGAATGTATCATACGCAATCTTAAGAATCATTTGCAGAGATCTTTACAATCTGCTAAAGGCATCCAAAGAAGCCACATCTTTGAACATTTCTTTCTAAGAAAGAAATGAATTCTCTCCTGAATTGAATATTCCCTGAATTATGAGGTTGAAATATGTTCCCCTTCCTGTTTTCTTTTTTAATGATTATTTCACCTTTCTGTTTTGTCTATTTACTATAAAATATCTGTGAAGGACAAATTCTCAGGATACATACCTTTAGATTTATTAATTCAGAATGATTAGCTAGCCAGTCAACAGTTAGAGCAAGACATGTTAGGCTTGTCATGCTCTTAAAGATGCTTATTACTTCCCAGAAAAGAATTACAGCTCCAGATAATAATACACAATGTTGGCTCCAAAAAATGTGTATTTTGCCACATGATTGTTTGGGATTCATAAAACTGGAAACAATCAGAAGCAATGGTCACTCTCAATTAACAACTATTGCATCTTTAATCCACTGCGTTGAGCAATTTATCAAGCTATGAACAAAGGCTTTATTTATTTATTTGTTCTTGTTCCAGGAAAGATGTGACTGTGGCTTAAAAGAGGCTGTTTGAATAAACAGATAAAGAAAAATGCAAGTTTAGAATTAAAAATCAAGACTTGGCAAAATACAAATAAGAAAATAGGACATCAGTACCAGAGACGCTTAAACACATATTTGATCCGCATTATGGTATTACTATATTTGAGCCTCATATTTGGATCTAAGCTTCTTAATGGGCATTATGTAAAGGAAGAAATAGTCATATGGTTGTTACAGACAGAGAAGGAAGGGGGTAAATATGAATTTTATGAGGGAAAAAACTTCTTAGCACAGGAGAGATTCCATGACACAATATGAAATGACACTGGAAACATGAAGATCAGGGTTTGAAAACCAGCTTCACTACTTAACCTCTTTAAGCCTCAGTTTTCTCATCTGCTAAGAGATATAAAAAACCTACCTTATTGTATTATTGTAAATAGTAAATTATGTGATACGTGCAAAGCAATTGGACAGGGACAGCACTATCTACCTCAAAGAATAGCTGTATGAAGTGATGCAACTTATGAAAAGTAATCACTGTCAGGCACAGCAGCAGGCACTGTGCCAGGAGACTCAAGCAATGCTGGTTATTATGAATGTTCACTAGCAGGTTGTGTATAAAAGAAATAGCCTACGTGGGAGACTAACTGGTAGCTTAAAGCTAAATATTAGGCTCTAGTGTACTGTTTGCATCAATAACAACATGATGGAACTGGAAAGCATTATGCTGAGTGAATTGAAATAAGCCAGGCAGTGAAAAACAAATACCATATGATCTCACCTTTAACAGGAACCTAAACAACAAAACAGACAAGCAAGTAAAATATAACCAAAGACACTGAAATAGAGAACAGGCAGACAGGGAACAGAGGGGAGAGGGGAGGGGATTTTAGGGGAAAAGGGGAAGAATTCACAGGAACTAGTATAAAGGACACATGGACAAAAACTAACAGGGGTGGAAATGGGAGGGAGGTGGGGAGCACTGGAGGGGGGTGATGGGCTGGGATGGGAGTAAAAGACAGAAAACTGTACTTGAATGATAATTACATAAATAAATAAATTGTTTCAAATGAAGTTAAAAACAACTAAGCATTACTACAGCCATATTACAGAAAAAAAAAACCAAACTTTTTGGCCAACCCAATAGTAATGCTTGCCTCAATTTTCAATCTTTCTTTACAAATATATTCATTTTAGGCTATAAAAAAATAACAACATGATGGAATTAGTGGGACAATTTTTTAAAATATTGTCGACTTGACTGTAAGTCATAATATCTAATATGTATCGAGTGTCTAATGCAGAGCCAGTCATTGTGTCCAGTGGCTCACATGTGCCATACCACTGAATTCTCATTTCAAACCTATGAGGTAAACACTATTCTGCCCCTCACTGTGCAGATAAGAAACTGAAGTTCCAAGAGTCTGAGTAGCCTCCCTAACCAAGCCCAGCAAGGAACTGACAACTCCAGTTTTCTCCGCGTTAGACACGGAACACAGTCTTGTTCTCTCACAACGGAGTCCAGAAGCTCAGGTTGGTTCACCCTCTCTCAGATCTTGGCCCCACACACAGCAGCTGCACTCCCAACCTCACTGATAAAACCAACATGGGTCAAGGTTGGGACAATGCTTAGTCATGATACTAAGAATTACAGAGTCTAACAAAACTTAAAGAATGGTCACTGCAAATTTTACCCACTTCATAGATATACAACATTTTATGAATCCATAACAATTTCTATTATAATTTTTATGTATTTCACATAAATTTTATACTTTAAACATATAATCTTATTAGCCAATGTCACCATAATAAATTTAATAGAATTAAAAATGTTTTTATAATACACATATTTATACTTTAAATACTTTAATTTATCTACAACATTTGTCCCATTACAACTTCATTTTAAATAAACTTTTTCACATTTCTTTTTAAACCAACCAGTTCCCATACAAAATATGTAATTCTATAAGTAGTTTTCCATACTATCAAAAACTAAAAATACATACCAGATATGATATATTGTAATTTTCTCCTTCATGTTTCTTAAAAGTCACTGCACGACTGGATTTTTTAATGAAGTTTCCTGGAATGCAGAAACAAGCAGTCTGGATGTTCATTTCAGAGTCTCTTGCTCCCCCCTCCACTCAGTCCTCACACAGCTCATTGCAGCAGATAAGCAGAACGCCATCTCTGTGAAGCTGTGTCACACACTTAGGAAAAGCGCATGCCCAGTGCTCCTGATCCACCTGCAGTTCATAACCTATTAGTTGTGACCTTCAGCAAGTTATTTGGTCTCTTTGTGCCTTGATTCCCTCAACTGCATATGTGGGGCTTTTAACAGTTCTGACACTGTACTAATATTTCCCAGTATAAACCAGTCATGGCCTATCTGGCTCCTAAAATATAAAATACTTTCATGCCTGTGGGTAAAAATAGCTGCCTACTCAGGCACCTCGGTGCCCACACACACACAGTCTCCCCCCAGCCCCACCCCCTGGGTCTGCTCTGTACTCTCCACGACACTGGGTTTAGAAAGCAAAAAGCTAACACCTTGAAGAACAGAAGCCTGGCCGCCCTACTCCAGCTCTGTGCTCTGAATTCATTGCAGTGGGCCAGAGCCCATGCCTTACAGGCTGCTAAGTGTTTTAACATCACTCTGCCTACCTCACGGGGCTGTTGTAAGGCAAAAATAAATTCATATTTATTACAGTAAATGGTCAATAAATGTTTATCACTACTCTTATCAAAAATATTAGGGATATGCAGTGATAACCACATGCACCACTTCAAAACATTACCCACAACTATTTCCTCAATCATCCCATAGTATCAATTCTTAAGGTTCCTTAAAGAACAAGGCAAGTACTTCTCAGACTAGTGAAAATGTGGATATAGTTATATTTTACCCAATGAAAACACGAGCTTTTCTAATATAATAAATGCTTTTCTAAAATATTTTTCTCTAGCATCTAATAAGAACTTTATTAAATGATGAGTGTTTTAACAGCATTAGAAAATAAAAGCAAAGTTTCAAAATAATAGTTCAGAGTGATTCATTTTATTTTTTAGAATTAGATGGAATATTTGTTTCAGAAAAAAAGTTGAATTATTTAGATCAAGCCTTAAAAAGCACTTCACTTTAAAAACTTCATGAAAACTACATTTATAAGCAGACACCATTTTCTTTCTCCTAGTGGCTGCCAGGGATCTAAGTTTAAAAACAGACGTTGCCTGTTTTTAAACGTATGCTTGTGCACGTGTGTGTACAGTGAGGAGGATGGTGGGCTGTAACTAGTGCAGGCTCAATTAGCCAGCTATGAATTAGCAGTAATGACCAGTGGCTCAAATGAATTCACTTTTAAAAAAACCAAATAACAATTAAGGAAGAGATGTTTGAGCACCGAAGCATTAATAATCTTCCCTGAGTGCGCTATGACTTTGCCCACCAGCATTTGCACTCTGCAGGCATTGAAACCAGATTTTACCATTCATGGCACTCCAAATTTATCTAGTATTTTTATGAAGCTCAAGATACTTTTACAAAAACTAAAACCTAGGTTCTGGATATATTCCAGATGAAAAAAATTGTAAGGATAATACAAAAAATTGTTGGCCACCCACCAGCATCACTGTTAAACCCAGGAAAGTAAACCAAGTAATTCAGAAGGACAGGAAGTTAGAGGTCCAAAAACTCTGTTTGGGGGGACTCCCTAACTCAGACTGTCCCCAGTAGCTGCAGACAACTGGCCAGGTAGGGCAGGACTGTGGCACCAAATAGTCCTGTTCTCCCCAAACATAGTACCTTCTGGGAAGTGAGTGCTAAACTACTCTGGCTGGACCATAGATTCCAAATAAACGCTTGAAACTTACTATTCCTCATTTTAAAAGGGAAGAGAAAAAAATGTTTCCACTGAAAAAGTTGTTTTTCATTGCTTATAAAAGGAAAAGCTAAAAATATGTATAATTTCAATTAAATATCCTTTTATTGCTGTTTGAAAAAATTTATTGATGGCTAATGAAAATAGGAGTTTATACTAATAGCAATAAATTTTTCTTATTATTTTAAGTAGAATTTCAAAAAAACTGCCAAATAAAATCTACATTATGGTTAGGTTGAAAATATTTCTCAAGAAAAGACAAGAAAAATGTTCAGGAGGGAAAAAATATGTTCCTGGAGATAAATTTTAATTTTTCCTGTTGTGTTTTAATCAATATTATAAATCTTAATATGTACAATAAGAATAAAATACCAAGTTGCAAAAACTTTGGATTACAAAATATAACTTCCCTACTCTCTTCTCATTTCCTTTTTATAGTGAAAAAAAGGTTTGTGGAAATATCATAGAAATACAAAGCATAACCAAAAGGTGGAATAAAAAAACAAGATAGTCAAGACAGAAGTAACAGGGACAAATATAATTATTGTTTGCAAAATTTCTATAATTTTACAAAAAATAGTATCAGAAATTCATAACTTCCTTTTCATGAAATATCATTAAAAGTGCAAATTTATTTACTGAACAAATAATATTTGAGGCATTGCTGTGGCACTGGACAACCCTGTGATGATATATCGGTGAACAAAAAAGACCAAAGTTCCTTCCCTGACGGGGGTCACATTCTGAATGGAGGAGACACTGGGCTCTTGTACTAACTGTCTTTCATGACCGTTCCTATCATGTTCTTGTTGACTTCCTCTCATACTTAAAGCTTCCAGTTAGACGGTAACCACAGTAGTCCCGAAAAGGATGTCTGGACCCAGTGGTAAAAATGTGAAAAGTGGTTGAAGATACTTTGAAGGTAGAGCCAATGAGGGGTGGAAAGAAAGAGAAGAGTCAAAGACAACTAAGTTTCTCTTAGCTGAGAGGGGTAAGAGTAGGAGTGGAGAAGGTTTGGTGAGGGAGATAGGAAGTCAGTTGCAGGTATGTGAAGTTTTGGATGCCTGTTAGAAATACGAGTACAAGGACTGAACATACAGCTGTACATATAAGTCTGAAGATAAGATTGGAGATATGAATTTGGCAATTGTTCACCTATAGGTGATATTTAAAACTATAAGACTGAATGAGGTCCCCAAAGGACTAGGTAGAGAGAGAGGAAAAAAGATAAAGGGCTCTTACATGAAAGTTCAAATTGATGAAGAAGAGCAAAAGTGACTAAGAAGCAGCAAATAGATAGAAGGCAAGTCAAACAAGTATGACATTCTGGGCCAAAAAGGTAAAAAAAGTATAAAAAACAAAAAAGTGATTAACTGCAACAAATGCTACCAGTAGGTCAAATTAAGTCCTAAGAATTGATATTCAAGAAAGTGAAAATGTATAGTAACTTTGACAATAATATTGTACTAAAATACCATATTAAATATTAAATACAGTATACTCAACTCTATGTGCTATATATAGCACTAAATACTGAATAAGTATATATTAAATACTATAATGATGTCCTTGTGCTGTCTTACAAGAAAAACTGGAAACTGAGTAATGGAGTCAGGTCTCAAACCAAGGTCTTCAGATCCTAACTTTGTGTTCTCTTTCTAACATCTCTTCAAAGGTATGTCCTACTTTTTTTATTTGGGTAGTGATTACTTTGTGATAATTTATCGATGTGTATACTTAGGATTTCTGTGTTCTTCAGTATGCCTATTTTAATTTTCAAAGTTTATTGAAACTCATTTTCTGGGTGCTGTGTGAAAAATGAATTGGCGGGAGAAAACTGGAATCAGAGAAGCTAGGTTAGAAGGTTTGCTCACTTTATTATAGACACTTTTCTAGTTCTAAAGATGGGACAAAGAGTAAATTTATTCCTTTGGTTGTACCAGACTTTACACACACTACAGACTCCCAAGAGAGCAGAAAACCAAGAACCAGCCTTGCTGTTTCCTTCTTCTCTTGTTCCTAGAACCAGGGAGCGAGAAGGAGAGGGGTTAGCTCAGGGCACGGGCAGTCCCTTCGGTTGGAGGATGGGTGCCACCTGTGAGTCATGAGTTTTCCAGAAAGACTGGTCTTGCTTCCTGTGGTCAGGGGAAGCATAACATTTGATCCAGAGAGCCTTAGGAAATGCAGAACCAGCGGCAAGGTCAAAGTGGGTGTCTTGTTGCCTCAGGCTGTCCTAGACAGAAAGTTTAAAAAAAAAAAAAGAAACTTTGCTTTTACGGGGTCAGCCCAGTGCCACGCTGGATTCCAGGCATTCAGGGGTTGGCCTGCCCAAGCACCACAAGAAATCCGCACATTCTTTTAAAATATTTCATTAGATTCCAGTAATATTTTTATATTGCAAACAAGCATTTACACCTAAATTCAAAGAAATGTTACATTGTTAATTTTCTTTATAAACCCTATTGGCTTCATTCGATCTGTGATAAAAGAGGAAAAGTGTCATTATAAACTGGCATTTGGAAAAGGTACAGGCCTCAAAATACATCTACTGATATTTGAGCTCTGGAGAAATCCACATGAGAGATGATAGACTAAAGTGGTGGCATAGTGATACAAAAGAATGGATAGATACTAAATATATTTTTAAAATGGTACTGATAGTACATACATTCATTCCCAGGTTTCTAGATTTCATAAGTGGGCCATTATTGGGTTAGGGAAGATGGGTTGTAGACCTGGGTATAAGAATATCCAGAGCTTTGTTTTGAACTTTGAAGAGACACTTAAATGAAAATACAAGCTGGATATCAAGTCTGGAGGTGAAAGGTGAGGCCTGATATGGAGAGATACATGTGAAGAATATTGGCATATACACAGTAGTTAATACCATAGGCAAAAGAAAAATAACCTTGGAAGAAATAAAGATAAATAAAAGGGGAGGGTCACTAAAATAGTGAACACAGTAGAAACAAAGAAAAATCAACACAAATGCAACATGAAGCTCCTTATGCAATTAACAAGAAAAGTTTCCATGGGGCCTGGGGCTGGAAGCCACATTAGAGCTGGTTTAAGAGAGATTGGAGGTGAGGAAGAGGAAGCATCCATAAAAAGAAAATCACTTATTCCAAAGGCCTTTCCAGGAGTGTGGTTTTATGTGCATCAACTACTCATTTTATTCCCTCACCAACTTTATGAAATAGATACTCATTATTCTCATTTTCTGCAGATGAAGAAACTCAGGCTTAGAGAGAGTAATTTGCCCAACATCATATAGCTATTAAGTGCCAGAATTGGGATTTGAACCCAGGTCTCTTTCATTCTTAAGCCCAGCTCTTAATTACTTTTCAATATTGAAAGCTATATTACACAAGATAAAATACAGATTTTAGTATCCCCTAATTCATTTGTTTAATGTATAAAAGTTAATCAGACACAAAAAACCAGAGATGTTTATCTAAAGCTGAAGCAATTTTAAATACCTAAAAAAACATATTTGGTGTTCAAAAACAAGTATGCATAATTGAGAATTGGACTGCTAATTAATTCATTAAAAAATGCACTCATCAATTCC